GCGCTGCATGCTGTATGAATGATTGTAGCACTCTGCATGCTGTATGAATGATTGTGGCGCGCTGCATGCTGTATGAATGATTGTGGCTCTCTGCATGCTGTATGAATGTTGTGGCTCTCTGCATGCTGTATAAATGATTGTGACTCTCTGCATGCTGTATGAATGTTGTGGCTCTTGCATGATGTATGAATGATTGTGGCGCGCTGCATGCTGTATGAATGTTGTGGCTCTCTGCATGATGTATGAATGATTGTGGCGCGCTGCATGCTGTATGAATGATTGTGGCTCTCTGCATGCTGTATGAATGATTGTGGCGCGCTGCATGCTGTAAAAAGGATTGTGACTCTATGCATGCTGTATGGATGCTGTGGCTCTCTGCATGCTGTATGAATGATTGTGACTCTCTGCATGCTGTATGAATGTTGTGGCTCTCTGCATGCTGTATGAATGATTGTGGCGCGCTGCATGCTGTATAAATGATTGTGACTCTCTGCATGATGTATGAATGATTGTGGCGCCCTGCATGCTGTATGAATGATTGTGGCGCGCTGCATGCTGCATGAATGATTGTGGCTCTCTGCATGCTGTATGAATGATTGTGGCGCGCTGCATGCTGTATGAATGATTGTGGCTCTCTGCATGCTGTATGAATGATTGTGACGCGCTGCATGCTGCATGAATGATTGTGGCTCTCTGCATGCTGTATGAATTATTGTGACGCGCCACATGCTGTATGAATGATTGTGGCGCGCTGCATGCTGTATGAATTATTGTAGCGTGCTGCATGCTGTATGAATGTTTGTGGCGCGCCGCATGCTCTATGAATGATTGTGACGCGCTGCATGCTGTATGAATGATTGTGGCGCGCTGCATGCTGTATGAATGATTGTGGCTCTCTGCATGATGTATAAATGATTATGGAGCGCTGCATGCTGCATGAATGATTGTGGCTCTCTGCATGCTGTATGAATTATTGTGACGCGCCACATGCTGTATGAATGATTGTGGCGCGCTGCATGCTGTATGAATTATAGTAGCGTGCTGCATGCTGTATGTATGATTGTGGCGTGTTGCGTGACGTCTGTAGCATTGTAAATCATACCCATAATCGGTAGACTTTGATTGTGGAATGTACATATGGTATAAACACAAACAACAATCTTCGAATACAATGTACTGAACACCTTCGTAATGGAGAGACAAACAGGACGGACAGATGACAGCGACAAAATGGCGACACTGAAATGGAAGTTAATGAATACAATATCCAACTCGTATTATGATTAAGGTGTATATCATTAGAATTGATTAATGGCACAAAATGGTAATTAAACTAATCCATTTCATTGTGATAGAATCAGGACTTCTTGATAACGTGGGGGATGCTCGTGAGGTGGATACGTTTGTGGGCAAACTATTTTTTGCTTTGTTCTTGAAAGTTGACAATTATAACACACTATAAATGTATTATCAATCGCGCGGAAGGTAGGAATACGTTGTTTCATTTAACTATCTGACTTTGTTTGTAGTGTGGCGAAATAATGACATAAGTGAGATATTTAAGTCATTTGTCAGTCTCAGTGCTCATTGTCGGGATCCCAGTGTGCAACCAGAATATATAGCAATATCTTGCCCACTCAGATGTAGCTTGGCATTTGAAGTAATTTTGATGTTTGTGTTGAAAAAAAACGAATTTAACATTCTGTATCAAAACATGTTTATTAATAAGACGGTCAGTCTGAACATACAACAATAATAGATGTTCGAAACTGACTTTCCCTAAAACCGAGTCGAACGTCACAATTACACACTTGGCAATACACGGTTCCTATATGTCGCGCCCTCTAGAGGCGAAGTGCATCTATGACGTAAGTGAGTGTCAAGAACGCCGTTCACAGCGTCGCCAGTAATTTGATCTGTCCGTCCATAAAATCACCATTACAGATATTTGCTATATGCTAAATGACGAACGACTGCACAAATAAACCGAGTTTTCTAATTTAACAACATTGCTTACATCAATTACATCATTTTGACGTCATGGAAACGATTGGTAACTAAAGGGCGCGACCTTGTGGGAATGTATATCACCCGAATCTTCTAAGATCAAAAATAAGTATGTAACTATTATATTAAAAAGTATTTATTGCTGTCAAATAGAACCTTCGCAGAACCCTAGGACAGATTAGGGCAAAGACATGTTAAGTCTACGTTGCTTCATTTTTGTTGAACTTATTGATTTTACCCTGTTATATCTTTGCTTCAAATAACCGCAGAATAAAATAAAGCCGAGCTGAGCTATACCTCTGGATTTCCTTAGGGGATGTATTACGGGCAGTGTGTACTGCAGATGACGGATTCTCGGAAATTGCATTTTTAGTTAATAAAATATTTAAGCCAATTCTGCAGGGACACATCGTATCCGTTTAAAGTTAATCGCAAGGCCGACTGTGATCTAATTTTCTCCGCAAATGTAAATTTTTTTATGGGTATTGCAAGAATGGATTTAACATAAAAAAAGGAACTGTGTTTCACGGTGGTTTGCTCTGCATAGCGTCACAGATGGAAACAATAGCAGACTTCGAATCCAGTGTTACCTAATTTCATATAGAAAAAAGAACACATCAAAAAAATGTATCAAAAATTACCATCACACATCTTTACCATAGCATCTTTCATGTTTCTACGCAAGACTAAATAATCAGCAGCAAAAATGGAAGTTCACTAACATTCATCGATACACATACACACGGGAAGCATACCATGACCATTACCATGGCAACAAGAAACGAACCACGATTTCCTTAAGTCATTAGTGTTCTGCTGGCTTTAGCACCATCAATTCAGCACGGTACATCTACCGTTTGGCATCATAGATTATACCACGGGTTTCTTACTATATTGGAAGAATATGCCAAGCACTATTTTTTCCTGATGATAATTCCGTTATTAATAACATTATAGATACGTATTCAGAATATAACCCTCTGAGCATACTGAAAATAGATGGCCAGGACACAAACATTATCATGCGAGTCACACTTTTCTTTTCCCTATTTTGCTACTATTCAACGTTATGTATATTTTCTCCGAATCACACCGGTGTCGTTTTACGGACCGTTTCAAAGGAATGTTGTCGTGGCAACCGACGTTCTCTTCTGGGCATATACAGTTTCCTTGAAGGGTGTCGTTCAGTTGAATTGAGTAAACTCATGCCGATATCCCTGGAACTATCAGTACTGTAGTCAGATGCCTGCAGATGTGGGGCGCTATAATAGTCGTGTTGGTTGCGGGTGAGACGGTACATATCCTGCGACCCTGAATCTGACCGTAATCTGGGAAATGCATCTACGTGCTTTCTCGAGTCAACGTGTTTTTTAATGACGTGCCTATGGCGTGAGACGTAAAGGTAGACAGATAATACACCAGCTGCTTCTGTTAGTGTAAACGAAGAAACAGCAAGCCAAAATGACCACCCGTAATGGTAGTAGAAAGTAGGATCACTGATGGCACTCCGTGGCCGTGCTTTGCTCGCATATTCCTCACTGACACTGGATATATAAATAAATAATCCCACGATGCTACACAAACCTGTAAAGTAATGCAATTTAAAACATAGTGGGTATAATATAACCAATCTATGACTCTTGAATGTTCTCAAGGAACGACCTTTTTTTCGTTTTATGCTATTTGATATTTTATGAAAAGTCAAAAGTAACATTATCACAGGAGTAAACATACGTAATACTCTCAGCGCAACAAAGGCATTCCCTTCATTTTCATGAATATTTATAAATTGCAAAAGCTCTTGAATCTAAAAAGTCACAAAAATGCAAAAATGCCGAATTTGGTCGAATTTTGTTATCGGTTGGCTTAATATTAGCCCCAACGGATCGTATTTCTGTGAAAGATTGGCATTTTTGTCCTGATTTGTAGGAATCTAAAAAACGCGTTTCACAACTTGTCTCTTATCTAGTTTTATGCTGTAATATAGTAAATATCGCATTTATTTTATTATCACGTGTGCACCAACTGACTGTGGAGTGTACCGCCGAAGAGAAAAAAAAACTCATACCCCATTTTAGACCAAACTGACATCCTAGCATAAACATATAGACACAATTTTGAGTACATCCTTTGGAATCAACCGATTAAAACATACTTATGAACCCAATATAACCTTACCTGCTAGGACGGATAGAACTCCTGCAATGAGTATCAAATGTACTTTGTGCTTCCTATAATGGCCGACAAAGCACACTATAGTAGCGATAGTTTGTACGATGAGAGCAAGTATAGGGAAGGCACTTGAAGCTCGAACAACCTCTGCGCAGGATAATAAAAATAAGAACAAGAGAATATGTTATATACACCGAGGGACAGAATTGCGTGGTCGTTTTCTCGTGTATTGTTTGTTGTGCTTGCCTAAAGTAATTAATTAAAATCTCGTTATTGTCGGCAAATATTTCATGTACACGACTGAAAGGTTAATACACTGGTCAAGTTTCGTCCGACAGTTGTGAATGTTGTACATGTAAGACCCTTGTTTCGCTGTATACAGATTTATGATTATCTGTAATTAGCGAAACGAGCTACAGCACCGATGGCGTTACAGTGTGTGTCAGAATCACAGTCATTTGTTGTCAGCTGGTCTGAAATTTCACTTTCATTTCATTTGTATGGGGTTTGAGGTCAGCATTCAAAGTTGAGATTTGGGATTGACAGCAAATTCATTTTACTAAAATAGGACTGCAATACGTATTACGGCTATTGGATGTGCATAATTTTGTGTTGGTGAACTAGTTTGGAGATGCGGTCATCTTGTCTGCACCATGACACTGATCATGATTTGAATTTAGCGACAACTATCTCTGAAATATATGTTGATAGTTATGGAAACTGTTCCTACCGGATATTGACTAGTGATAGTTTTGATAGTGTGGCATG